ATTCCTTGGGACTATTACTTTCAAATGAGCAGTGGCCTAAGTTTCCTAGTAGTAAATGCATGAATCATCCATCCCTAAAGAAAAGTAGGGTATCAATACTGTCTTCAAAACCTCTCCTGTTAAAATATATTTTAATAACAGCCTGTCTCTCTGTTGTTTCTCCAAACATAGTATCTGGATCATTCTTATAGGTATAAAGTATTTTATGTAATAAATGTGTTTATAAAAAATTTATGGGTAAGAATATAAAGCTCAGGAACCCACACTTATATAGTCAATAATATGGAGGCAATAATACGCAATGGGGAAAAAGAAACCTATTTAATAAATTATGTTGGGAAAATTGGACAGCTCTATGCAAAAGACTCAAACTGGACTACTCTCTCACACCAGTACAAAAATAAACCTGAAGTGTATTAAAGACTTAAATGTAAGACCTGAAGCCATAAAACTCCCAGAAGAAAACATCAGTAGAATGCTCTTTGACATCAGTCTTAGCAATATTTTGTTTTTGGGATATGTATCCTCAGGCTAGGGAAACAAAAGCAAAAATAATCAAATGGAACTACATCAAACTAAAAAGCTTTTGCACAGCAAAGGAAACTATTAGCAAAACAAAAAGGCAACAGACTACTGAATGGGAAAAGATATTTGCAATATACCTGATAAGAGGCTAATATCCAAAGTATACAGTGAACTCATACAACTCAACATCAGAAAACCAAACAAGAATTTTAAAAAGGGTACATGATTTAAATTGACATTTTTCCAAAGAAGACATACAATGGTCAACAGGCAGATGAAAAAAAAATGCTCAACATTATTAATCATCAGGGAAATGCAAATCAAAACCACAATAAGATACTACCTCACAACTGTCAGAATGGCTGTCATCAAAAAGACCACAAATAACGAATGTTGGCAAGGATATTGAGAAAAAGGAACCACCATGCACTGTTAATGGGAATGTAAATTGGTGCACCCACTACAGAAGCCAGTACAAAGGTTTCTCAAAAAATTAAAAATAGAACTACCATATGATCCAACGATTCCACTCCTAGGTACTTATCCAAATAAAGCAATAATGCTAATTCAAAAAGATATGCACTCCAATGTTCATCACAGCATTATTTACAATAGCCAATATATGGAAGCAAGCTAAATGTATGGAAGAATGGATAAAGTGTTCTGTATGTATATATACAGTTGGTGATTCAAAGATAAGGATTCAAGTACATGTGCTTTATTTGAAGTGTGATCCTTAGAAACCTAGTAGAGGAGAGAATTAAAACAGAGAAGGGAAGGCCACAAATAAATAATGTGTGATCTAGGAAGTTGCAACGGTGGTTACTCTAGGGAAGTCTAGGAGTTACTACAAAACCGTAGAGCACAGATCCCAGAAACATCTCAAGCGAGAAGGAAGGGAAATGGATATCTGCACATCAACTTTCATCAGTTACTGTTTGAAAGGTGCTCTCTGCTCTGCTATGTACCTGGGCAGAGAGGCTTCTGCTTCCAGAAGAAGTCTTTACAAATATGAAAATAAAACATATATTCTCCCTGATGGAGATGTGGAGAAAATAAATCAGTGAAGGGGATCTGGGAGTGCTGAGATTTTCAGTTTTAAATAGGGTGGTCAGTGAAGGATTCCTCTCAGAAATGACATTTGAACAGAG